GGGATCGAACGCACAGCAGCAAGGCTCTCCCCTAAAAGAAACACAGTCCCTTTGTGGGCGGAAGGCAAGGGGCGACCGGCTGCAGATGTGTAGTGTCCCTGCCCAGACAGGCCTGTCTCTGGTCAGCCCTGTGCAGCGGCTGCATCCTGCTTCAAGAGATCGTAGAGAATTCCTTCAGCAGCAGTTCCTGGCTCAGTGTGTTGAAAGCAAGGTTCTTCCTCACATTGATGCTGATGGACCGAACCTAGAAGAGACAAAACAAGATGTTTTAGCCAAGGGTCTCCTCCAGACTTCCTGTGAACAGCTTTGATACTGCTGACCTCCAAGTTCAGCATGTGCACACAACATTTTGCAGCCAGCTCTCAATGAGACTCCAATTTAGCAAGAAATACCTGAGGATTAGCTGTCTCCTGGAATAACAGGAATGTCTATAGTGACTTCCTGGCAAGGAGAGTAAATTCCAAATGTGACAAGGATGAGAGAGGAGCTGTGATGTGTTTCATGTTCTGAGGCAAAGTCATGTGGAAAGTGAGCACTTCAAGGCTGTAGCTAGAAAAGCATTTTCTACCACTGCCCACTGGAATGCCAGCCAGCATGGATGAATGCAGTGCCATGGCCTCTGTCCTGCTCCAGAACCTGCAGAGCAAAAGATACAGAGGCAAGGGAAGGACAGAGGCCATGCTCCTGTAAGCATGAACTATCACCCAAGTTAGCAGAAAGCCACGGGTTCAGAGTCAGTTGTGTGTATTCTGTGCTGAGTGCCTTACACTTGAAGCTGGCTTGCTAGCTGCCTCCAGAGACATCTTTACCCTTGAACAATGCCCACACTTCTGGTCACCCACTGTCTGTGACGAAGAGCTGGGCAGCCCTGTTGTGCAGCAGCTTCCCTTCCCCCTTCATGCCTGCAGACTCCTTGGCCAAACACGCAGGCCCCAGACTGGGCTCAGTCTCAGCTGCGCTCAGCAACGAAAAAACAAAGTCAAACATCATCTGTGTCAGCGACTGTGCAGCAGTGACAGAAAGCAAAACTGACACAAGCTCATCCAAACAACGGGATTACAGTTCCCAGAGACTCGCAGCCTGTGATAATAAGGTTGTTGCTGACCTGGTTAGTGTTTTGTGCTTTTTAAAAGCACAGGATGATGAATTATATAGAAGCAGAATGAGGAATCCAACACTGGGGGCTGCAAGAGCAAGCTAGCAGTGTTTATACTGCTGAGAGTTCCACTTGCTGCTCTGGTGAGGGAAAAAAAAAAAAAAAAGAGGGGAAGGGTATAAAGCTCCCAAAGAGGCAGAATGTGTGAGAGTGGGAAGCAAATCAAAACACAGAGGGTTAACATGGAAAGCAGTGAAATAAACCCTAGTGAGCCCCACTGCACAGGCCCTAACAACATGAGCAAGCTAGCAAAGATGTTTATACTTAAAGACAGAATATTTAAGTTTTATGGTGTCTGCAGAAACCACAAACGCTCCTTCATCAGGATGCTTGGCAGAGATCCCATGTGTCTGTGTTCCCTTGGAGCACCCCCTCACCTCTCTTCTCTGGATGCCTTCTGACTTACTCCATACTGAAATAGTTTGGGATCATGCCTTCTAAGACAACCACAGGTTCTAGCCTATGCTGAATGGCACTGCAGGGGGTCTCCAGAAGACTGGTTTGCACTGGGCTGTCTCCCAGCCATGGGACAGGAGCCTCACTGACAGGATTTGGTCCCACTCCTACAGAGTTGACTCAGCGATCCAGCCGGTTCTGACAAGACTGGAACCACGTGGCTAGACAGAAGTCCTCTGCCCTGGGGAACGTGACTGCCTACAAAAAAGGGGCAGATGCTACATGTAGTGTAAGCCAGCATCCTTATTCTGACTTGAGGCATTTCTATGGGTCCTAGCAACAGGAAGAACAAGCAGAAATGAGCTCCTGGCCAGGCACCAGCAGCAGCAGATGCCCAACTTGTATACACATCAAGATCTCCAAGAAGGATGTGACAGCACTCTCCACAAACCCATAAAGGGGGGCTGGAGTGGCACGTGATGCGAACACAGGGCTTGGCAGAAATTATAGCTATGGGGTAGAGCACAAGAAATTAAGCCTGTTTAGTTTGCAAAGACAAGGTTTAGGAGGAACAGAGCAAACACTCTCCAATATGTAAAATGAGGTCAGAAAGAGAACAGTGAGTAATATTTCTCTGGCTCCCCAAGGATGGAGCAAGAAATAGTCAGATTAATTTAAGACAAAGATGTGCACTGGAAAAGAGGAAATAGTTTTACATCTGCAGGCTGTGGAGCAGTGGAGTGTATCACCTGGGGCCAGGGTGGACATGTTTTCACTTAAAGACAGCTTTAGGTTTCAAGAAGAGCTTAGATACAAACTTTGGTTTTGGTCAAGAGCAGTCTAGGTGGACTTATATTTGCTTTAACACTAGTTGGGGAGAGGAATGAGCATGATAACACACAAGATGACTTTGATGTTTCTACAAATCTCTGCCCAGCATTTCTTCTGCTGTGAGAAAACAGGCAGCTCTGAGCCAACCAGCTTAAAAGGTAAGAATAGCTCAGAGTTAGATCAAGTTATCTCCAGCATCAGGGCTCAGCACAGGGAGCCAGAGCTCATCTCCCTTTGGGGGTTGGAAGGCTGGACAGTGACACAGGGAAGCGTCAGCCTGTAACAAGGATAAACTTCAGAAGCTTCCTGCAGCCTGGCTGAGCTGCTCTGTCCACAGGGCTACATCCCAAGATCCCTCCTAGCTTGTGGTGCAGTGGGCAGCCCAGGCCTGGTTGCCAGCCTGGAAGCTACCAGAACTCTCTAGAGTGGCTTATCCAAGGGGGCCAGATCCAGTCTCAGAAAGTTAACATTCATTCTTCAAGGAAGTAAAAGCAGAGCACATGTCCTCTCTTGCTTCTGTATGGAGCATGTTGGAGCACACTAGGGCCAGAAAAGCTTATAAAATTGTTTTCTCCCTATTAGCAGCTTGGATCACATTTGACCCACAGACTGAAGAAATGGCAAATGAATTAAATGCTGACATTACCTGGAGAACAAAGCAAATAAATGAATGGATGAAGTGGTGGCACTAAACACACCAGGAAAACATTCAGTTCTAGTTTTGTGTCATTATGGCTGGACATGTGCAATACTGTACAACAGATATTCCTATTTTGCAGCAAGTGCCATCAATTGAACCTGTTTCCAATCAACAAGCATCTCTTAAGAAATTTGTACAATGGGAGGAAGGTTTACACTGTCTGCTACATCTAATTAAAAGTCAAATTAGTGTAATTTCCCCTGCAGAAATCAATCCCTAATCAGACTATTATGAGACTCTGCTGAAAGCTATCCAACTGCAAAGACAGGGAATGTTTTAGAAAAATGCTGAGTCTCTTTCCACACATTCCTCCAACTGCAATGAAAGGGTCCAAAAGCTCACATCCTAACCATTCATTCTATCAAAGCAGGACAGATCTCAAATGACATCCCTGAGAGTTCAAAGGAAAAGAAATAAAAAGTGTTAGAAAACTTCCTAACTTCCTTCCTTTAGCCTCTCAAAGGCAGCACAACGGGCCAGAAAACCCCGTTGATAAAACACTGCACATCACCTTTCACCACAATGTGGCTGCAGTGTAACAGGCCTTTGAAAGCTTCTTTGAAAAGGGAATGGGAGAAGAAAGATTTTTCTTTGGGATTGACAAGAAAGAGCAGCACTGAGGCAAAGCCAAAGAACTGAAGCAGTGCATTAGCAAAGTACGTCAAAGGAGTGAGAACAAGATTTCTAAGCATAAAGGAGCCAAGAGAATGGCTTGGGGAAGTTTCTGCTCACCCGCTTAATGGGAGCACAGAGAGATGAAAAAGCAGCCAAAAAGGAAAATGGTTCCTGCGTGCCATTCCCCACCAAGAAGGACTTGCCTTACTGATATCACACAGATAGAGATAAGAAAACCAGGCAGAATCTGGAAAGAATAATTTGGAAGCAGATCCTGCTCAGGAAGACCTGATGGGACCAGCATGAGCCTGGAAACCATACTGGAAACCTGTAGGTTATCACCAGCCCTGCTCCTTTGGCAGAGCCCACGAAGGAAATGGTGGCAACTTCCCTCTGCCCACTCCATGAAGTCCTGCAGGCCTCAGCAGTTAAACACCATGCACCGAGTAGGGGGATATTGTCCAACACCAGACCAGCGACTGAAGCTGAAGCAAAGACTCAGAAGCCTCACAAAAAGGAAGTCCAGTACCTGATTAGAAGAGGATAGGGAAGGACAGGGCAGACCTAGGACCTTTTTGATGAGTTGTTTGAACAATTAATAAAGCCATCAGTTACTGTGCACTCAGAGGAAAAGCCAGAGTGGAGGACGGGGCCCGGGCAGCTGGATTTGCTGAAGACAGATCATAACATGTCAGGCTGATTTCCCGCTGTGTTGAGGGAATGGCTTAATGGAATGCAGGGGATTTTCTGTATCTGTGAGTAAAGAACATTTAATAGGGTCCCAATTCTCAGGGCATCTAGAGAAATGTGGATTAAACAGATTCACAACTGGGTCAAATCAGTACATTCAGACAGTAATTATTCGGGCTTTCATATGCTCTTGGGGAGAGGGTCCCAGGGGTACCTGGATGGGTGATTTTCAGAAGGGAGTCGAGGAGGGATTGGTTATGCTAAACAGATTCCTAGATGATATAAAATTGAGACTGTATAAATTTAAAAAAGAAAAAAAAAATTGGTCTAGGAAGAAAATAATTTTAGCTGGAGTGGTTTGTAGCTGTGATGAACTCAGGACTGAGAATGTCATTTTAATCAATTGGCATGATCAGACTGAGCTTCTGCCAGGCCAAGTGGAAAGTGGGCCATGCAGGAAGCAGAGCAGTCATGTGGCCAAGAGGCTGGGGAAGGAGATGCTGGCTGAGGAGGGCAGGAGCTCTTGGACAGAACAGATTGACAACAGAAACACGAATGCATCTTATTTTCAGGTACAGTAATAGGAGAAGCCCGTGTCACAGGAAGTTTTCATGGCCAAATTGTTTTGCATGTATTCCAGATATGGTATCAAACAGCAGGCCAGAGAGACAAAACACAGACAACAACAGAGTGCAGAAAAATGGCACAGAAATGATTGCAAGTGGTTTTGCCCATATACCAGCCAATGGCTGTGCTGGAATAACCCCCCAAAAAATACTAAAAAGCATTCTGTAGAAGGAAGCAAAACCAATTCAGGCGTGCTTGCTCTGGGGCAGAGTAGACGGACAGAGGTGTAACATTCCCAAACTCAGGCACACTTGTGGCAGAGTGGACAGGCATCAATTACTCATAAATCAGCAAGGGCAGAGCTGGGAGAGAGAATCAGCTCTCAAACTGCTGGAGAAAGCTGCCAGAGTTAGAGAGCACTCTCTTCACTGAAACTGTAATGAATCAAAAGCAAGGAAAACCAGGGTCCCCCTCAAACACCAGCCAATACAAAAATATTGTCTTCCTGGTAATGCAGCCAGCAGACAAGAAAATGTTATGCCAGGGCTCTCTGGAGCAGGGAGAGCAAGCTGGCTTGCTGAATAACGTAACTACCAATCCAAATTATTTGGACTCAGTTTTGTCTTTGCTATATTTTTTTTTTTTTTTTACTATTTTGTTATTATTTTGTGATTAACATAATATTTTGTTATTATTTTCCTACCATTAAGTCTTCTCCTCTGGCAGGAGATATTTCTTGGGAATGCCTTTGGTTAGGAACTGTATTTTGTTAGTGAGGAAGGAAAGCAATGGGCAGGCACGTTTCACCAGCATCACATTCTGCTCAGTCTCATACTTTGTGGTCCCCTTAACAACAGCAAAAAGGGTAAGTTGTTCTGTGTGACAAACCCAAGGTGGGAGCGGTTAGCTCCTCCACAACACAAATTTACCACCACAAAGCATGGTGGATTCCTGTGGCAGAAAGGACAGAGACTGACTGACCAGTTGCTGGCCTGAGCAGTCTGGTGATTCCTCCCCAATCATCTGTTGCAGGGCAGGGAGCTCCAGAGAGCTTTCAGATCTCCTGAGATGTGCAGTGTCTGTTCAGAATCTTAGTCCTTCCTCACCTCTGGAGATGGCCCAACAGAGTAACAGGGCTGCTCACCTATACTTCAAATGCCACTTCCCTGGGCCATAAGCAAAGGCTTGGGAAAAGGGCTGTTGATTCTGCAGAATGAAGGCAGCTTACCAGCTCTTTGAAGAAGGCAGCCTCTTTATGCTGCTCCGAGTAGCGCTCGTACTGGTCCAGTCCGTCCTGCAGTTTCAGTGTCAGTGTGTCATAGTTGGACCGTACCACTTCCAAAACCTGCCAGAAACAGCCAAATACAGCAGAGGAGTCAGCATCCACAGACACCTCAGCATAGAAGGAGCAAGGCTGGGACAGATCACAGCTCTGGCACCTGCTTTTGCAACATACATGGCTCTAACAGCCAGTATTTAACTCATGACTAACAACATGGAGGTGGGCACTAAAATCTTCCTGATGCCAGTAAGGAACAGCCCTCAAATTTACAGAATTTCTCCATTCATGAGAAGAGTGGATGAGGCTATATCTACAACAGCAGTAGCATTTCAAATAGTATGGCACCATGAGAAATAGACATGATCTCATTAAATTAAGCAGCTAATTACCATGTGTAGACCCAAATGTAGCACTGTAGGCACTATACAGACACGGGTTTGCCTGACACCATGGTCCTTCCAGTGCTAGTTTAGCCAGTACACTTCTCTCCTGGCTTGCTAATCACCATTAACAATTTGCTAAACCACCAGCTTCTACACCTGCTCAGGTCAGCTTCCATACAGAGTGCTACATTTCTCTCCTGATAGGAGCAAGCTTCTGACAGGCACTATGAGAAGACCAGCCCTGGCATGGACTCTGGTTTTGGAAACAGATGGAGACACAAACCACATCTTCCTGCCCAGGAGATTGTTTTATTATTGGCCTTCACTGCAACCAATGTACTTGCCAGCTTGTATTACTGCCTTACTCTGCTCCCAGCACTAGGCTATACTTGCAAATTCATAGTTACACATCTCAGTCCTATTGAACTATTCATTTTCCTAACCAGGGAACACCAAGAGGAACTCCCCCAGTGCTTTTTAGCTTCAAAGCACTGCATGGACAAACGCATTCCTCAAAGCATTTGTGCAATGCTAAGTAACGATAATCTTCCTACCAGGAACAATACAATTGGGCACTCCTGGGCAAAACGTACACTTGAAACAATTCCCTTAAACACATGAACTTCTTTCTTAGGCTGTTACCATTTGATCTCAGAGCTAAACAGAATATAAACATCTAAGGTCTGCATTACAGTAGCCTCTGCTCATGGGAAGCCTCAGCCAAGAGGACTACATAGCGTCAGGTTCAAAGGAAGAGGACTCTGCCCCAAGGAATCACAACTCAGAAAAGATCCTAAGAAAAGAACTGCATAGGGTTTAAGACAAGAGTGACCAGAACAATAAGGAAACCTTCTACTTCTCCTCTTGTCCTCCCAGCAACAAAAACACTACCCTCAGTGGCCATTTTAGGCAGCTATCAGCATTCCTTTCACAGCATGGAATTGTGTCCTTATATCCTTTACTCTAGGAAAACTAGATTTGCTTAGGGTTCCTGCAAAAGCTTGCTTTCCCCAAACTTTGCATGTGGCAGTGGTACAGAGACACTCAGGCAAACACTTAGAAGCAGGCTAGAGCCTGAGGTGGCAGAAGCCACAGGGCATCATCCAAATGAGGACTGAGGGTAAAAAAGGGTCCCAGAAGTGGTTCCCAGGTGAGATGGTCACACAGCAGAGCCTCTTTGCAGCTCAGCTGCCCTCCAGCATTGCAGAAGCAAGCTACAGGTAGGAATCAGCATTTTGCAATGTTAATTAAGGACAACCTGTCAGTGTCCTGCTGCTGCAAGTGCATGCAGCCTCCTCTCCAGGACTCATTTCCTAACGTTGTTTGTCAGCTCCACTAGCAGAGAGGAAAAACCCCCCACAAGGACAGCCATCTCCAAATTCAGTCTGGCCTTCCTGTTTCTGTGTGCAGAAGCTGCAAGAAGTATCACAGAGGCAAGAGCAGTGATGAAAGAAAGCCGTCTGGGTATAGGAATAATTTACTCTGGGATGCAACTATCCACTAGGGATGGAGAGTAACAGTATAATGCACCTTCTTGTGAGCAATAAAGAATCTAGCAGCTCACATGAATAAGAGGGCTATCCTCCTGACTGTCTGAGAAAGCCAAATTGACCAAGATTAACAAGCTGCAGGGGAGAAACCTTGTTTGAAAGGTGAGGAGTAGAATAGCCTTCTCCAGCAGTAACTCAGCATGATGGCATTTTACCCAGGGCTACCCCACTCCCCAAGAACCTTCCCTTGGGGACCTCTTCAGTCCCTTGTGCTCCATACACACAGCCATACGGGTGTGCCCAGACAATGGATGCACATGCCTTTACAAGAAGAATCAGGATTACTTCTTGATAGGTCAGAGTAGAGATTCTGTCAGATACTCAACAGGGAGATCCTCAAACCATGGTGAGGAGCAGTAAACTGTGAGGGCAGCAGTGAGCTGTGTAAGCAGTATCAGCCCATATATGTCACCTTTGAAAGGCAGCCAAGAACTCAGTTTGATACTCCAGGAGGAGGAGAGGGAAAGAACAAGAGGCCCCAAAGTCTCTGCTGTTACCCACTCCTTATCATAATCTCTGCAGTGAACTTGAGATCAGCTTATCCCTTTAGCTACGTATTTTTATTGGCTCCCACTCCTTATCTCCTTTAATTATGAAACAGAACTTAAAAAGAAAGGGTAAGTTAAAAATAAACAGCTTCTCCACACTGCCTGATAATTTCCCTTTCTTGCTGCCGCTGAGAAAAAATGCTACGTGGGATCTGAGATAAACCCACTCACAGATCATTTCACTTCATACCTTATAATGGATAGGAGCTGTTACTGAGGCTAGGACCTGCCATCCTTGGGACAGTTTCATCTGCTCTTAAAGATGCAGCTGCTAGACAGAGGAGAGGTTAAAGAGCAGCAGAAAGTATTAAAAGCATCTAACAGGAAGGTTTGAGAGTCATCAGCTTTCTACACACGACAAAAACTCACATCCTCTGTGTAACAGAAGACTGTGTGTTAGCATCCTTCACAGTGCTTTGACTTTTGCACAGGTAAACTACTGCAGAACTAACACTCTTCTGTGTTCAACATATGAGAACTTTATCTGCACCTTTTTGTCAGATAGAAAAGAACTAGAGGAATTTAGTTTTGAGATTAAAGCACTTCTTCAAAGTCTTGTCCAACCTGGTCTTCCTAGAGGTCTCTGTGGAAGACTGGAAAACAGCATTTCCAAGGTGGTGAAGTACAAATAACTTAAAGGAAGGGACTTTCAGCTGGCCTCTTCCACACAGGTTTTAAATAGACATTCTTTTTTTTTTTTTCTTTTTTAAAAAAACATCTCATGAGCAGCTGGAAAAACACCACGTCTAGTGTCAGGCAGGTATAAAGGAAAATGGACTGCAGATGATTTCCAAGGAGCCTGGTGTGACACTCAGATTGTAAGGATAAATATACAGGGCAGAGTGTTGTTGTTTGTTTTTTTTTTAAAAAAAATGCTTTACTGGATCTTTACAGTAGAAAAGAATAAGTGGAGTCACAACCTAAATCTCTTTTTGAGATTACCACAGGGGGATCAGAGTCTTAAAAAGTGTTAGGACAGAAGTGAGCAACTAGACACAGGCAATACAAGAGAAGCAAAGGCTGCTGGATCCCTTCTCCTGCAGTTACCTGTATCAGCCCTAGGGGCTACATTCGCTCAGTTACTCCACTGCAACAAACCAGAAGTCAGTGGAGCTGCACCACTGCAATTTAAAGATAATTTGCCACCAAATTAACCCCCTGCCCCACCACTCACTCACCAATTGCTTTCCAGAAATTCCAGAGCAATGTTAGCGATTCAGGTCCCTGCGTACGTGTCCCCAAACCAACCTTTCAAGGCTGGCTCTGAACAGCAAGAGCTTTCTGTGGCACTCAGATTTCACCTTCCTCCTGCAGCTATAGCTGCCCATGCCCTGTAACTCTCCTTCACCAGTGACACCAACAAACTCTGAGTAGAGGCATCCCTCTGAGTAACACAGCAGGGGGCTGGCTTCCAGTGGAGGCACTGAAATGGGGCTCAGCTCTCTGCAGCATCCCACCCACTCCACGCCACTGCACCCAGAGAAACAAGAGTATTCCACAGAGTTTTTTGCCTCCTTCCTTTGCTGCATTCATCAGCTTACTGTTCCTTTGCAAACTGTAAGGACAATCTCTGAAGGGTCAGTGGACTCTTGTGGACACAAGCTCAGAAACCTGTTCTCCCAGAACAGCATGCCCCTGCTCCAAAATTTTTTGCATTCAAAACCTGATTATCTATTGATGGACTACTCTACAGGCTCCTTCCTTAGTGCACCAGAGCTGTTCCCTCTGACTGATCCTCAACAAGAGCTGACTTGCTGCACTTGCCCAGGAGAGACTGGACCTTCTGGAAGAGCTTGTCCTGGGGAAACAATGGGATTATATGCAGCAGTCTCCAATCCCCATCCTGCCCAGGAGAACACAGGCATCATTACCAGTAAAGCCAGAGAGGGAGCTGCACCAGCAATGAAATCTTACAGGCAATATGCAGATCCAGGGGCCATCTATCTGGCAGACACAGTACACTTCATTGCTTTATAACTTTTTAACCTGCAGAATCCTTCAACATCCACAACTGCACTCTCAGCTTCACTAGAACATAAAATTAGAGAGTGCCACCGATTCACACCACCCAGCAAGGGGCCTGGTTGTGGACAGGTTTTAGGAAGCATGCAAGGGTAATGACAGAAGAAGAAAGGAAAACCAGAAGCAAAAAGAAAGCAAGGTCTCTACACTGTCTTTTTAATCAGTGCAGAAAAGGACAAGAATGCAATCAGTCAGCATCACCGGTCCCTTGCTAAAGCCTCTAAGACAGTCAATAGCTACCATGACATGAAAGCAGTTGGATAGAACTGACAGATCTCACATCAAGCAGAAGGCAGAAAAAACCCCAAATAACCCCCACACTAAAATGCATTTGGCTCCCACACCACCTCCATGCAGCTCACGAGGCTGGGATGGGGCAGGCTCTCCCGGTCAGGCCCAGCAAGCCCCCTCAGGATGGAGGAGCTGGGCACTTCTGTCCCACCTGCCCCACGCTGGAGGATGGAGCAGCCAGTCTATGGGGCACGTAATGCCAAGCCCTCACCAGCACCACTGCATGGACTTGGCACAGGGCAGCCAGGGATAGACAAACATGCCTTCTG